GGAATGATACCAGTGAATAAGAGTATAGTGAAGAAACTTATCCAAAAAGATACAATGTAAACACGTGTAGATAAGAGTTGTTCAGCTACAGACAACCCATCATCGTCATCATAAAGGTTCAAATTTTTGATGAATTCTATGAATCGATTTCGATATTGAATACCAATACTAACTTCAGTGGTCATCGCTCTAAAAGAATCTTTCTTTATTGTACGGCGTCTAACTTAAATGTATGTCGATAGATTGAACTTTTATATTACTATAAAAATAACAAATAATTATAACTCTTGTTTGCATTGATTCATAATCGTTACATTCATTTCTTTTATGAGACTAGTGAACAAGTGTGCATTATTCAAATGAAGTAATGAAATAGTTTGACAAACATCATTACCTAGAGAAAGAATAAAGCTATGCCTCTAGTCTATCATATTTTCTCATAACACTAAGTGTAGACTTTTTGCTTGAATAATATCCTCTTACCTACTTGTATGTTGAACTTCCAATGCTCTTAACAAAAATTGCTTCTATTCTTATTTCCACTCACAATAGATTTATTTTTTAACATTACATTTTTTTTTAAAAAGCTAATGCCTTTTTCTTACTTACCTATTCATCTTTCTAAGTAGAAAAGTTTACGAGAAATTAAAGAGGAACGATAAGTTAATTATCAGAGTATTTCTATTTGTTATAGTATCATATGAAATGATTTGTTTCGTTTTTATTTTGCTTGAATCAATTGTTATTTCTCGTTAGAAAGTACGTCAGATTCGAAAGAAAACTATTCGGTAACTCATGCATATAATTACTTCACGAAACTGTTGAATAAACTTCTAGATGAACGAATTTAATTATCAAACGAATCCATGGGATGTGTACCACCATATGAAAAAGTTATTTTTTTGATACTTCTTTTGATTTTCTAACTAGCACCGAAGCAGAAAACAACTTTGACCGAAAAAAATTTGTGACTTTTCTCTGAAATACTAGAGATTCAGGTTCTTTTCGTGGAACACCAAAGCAGATGGTGTTCATCTAGATTATTACAAGGTTTAAAGCTCATATTCTAGCCCATAGTAGGGAACTACCAAGCTAGTACAATCTCCGAAGAATTCATTTTCTCGATGTATCTTGAGTGAAATAACATATCTTCAACGACAACGACTTTTACATAGTTTTGACCGGAACGTTTTTTTTAAGGAAAATACTAAGTGGTCGTTCTCCTTAAAGATATGTTATTTCACTCAAGATACATCGAAAAAAAGAATTCTTCGGAGATTATGCTAGTCTGGTAGTTCACTACTGCGAGCCAGAGTATGAGCTTTAAACCTTGTAATAACCTAGCTGAACACCATCCTCTTAGGTGTTCCGCGAAAAGAACCTGAATCTCCAGTATTTCAAAGAAAAGTCACAATTTTTTTTCGACCAAAGTTGTTTTCTGCTTCGGTACTAGTTAGAAAAATCAAAAAAACTTTTTCCAGAAAAGTGGTATGTTTCCCATGGATTCATACAGTAATAGAATGAGAGTAATTCAAAACGGAAGTAAACTTTTCTTTTTCTGCGCTATTATTATATGATTGGATATGGCTAGCGCAATACAACAAAATATACGAATAAATAATTATAAAAAGATATTTTTGAAAGAACATTTTAAAGGAGCTATTCATAAAATATTAAAAGCAGCTTGCACTTTTTATATGAAAAAAAAACGGTTCATCGTTCAATAAATTTAGTTTTTCTTTCAAAATTGTTTTCATTACTTAAACAACTTGTGAATGCTTTTAAAAAATGTTAGATTCTACTATACCATCTTAGCAACTTGTCAACCAATGAAATTGTTTTTATTGAAAAAAAAAGGAGTAATATCTGAACCAATATATATTTTTTCAGAATGATTCAAAGAAGGAGGAAAAACAAAAAAAATGAAATATTTCTAAAAGGAAATTTTTTCAAATACTTTGCATGATGAAACATATCTATTTCTCAAATCGAATGAGCTATGCAGATCGAGTTTCAATTAAAAACTTGATCAGAATGTAACACATCAAAATCTCAATTGATCTTAACTTTGGTAAAATATTTCAGATCCTATCATCTAGATTATATAATAGAAATAAATTATATAATAGATGGTTAGCAGCAAAAAAAATTAATTCAGAAAATATTTTTTATTATTGTAAAAAAGTCAAATAATAAGAGCAACCAAATTATACACTCTTTTCCAGAAATAAACATATTTTGTTATAAAAACCTACAACAAACTTAACTTTTAATATACCACTGAAAAGAGCATTGTTGGCACTAGATCAATTCTGCAACAATATATTCAATAGAAAATTTATAATTCAAATATGATTCTTTCTCACAAAGAAAGGTCATGGATTTAGAAGTTGACTATTTGGTCTCCCAATGTGTGACATTTTTCCAGAGACTTCTACATTTTTAGTCATGCTCATTCAATGCAGCATCAAAAACTCCATCGAATACGAAAAGTTTAGTGGACGAGTGAGTGTGGGGTGTGGGCGTGGGTATAGATGCTGATCTTCAGTTCAACCACACCCACACCCATCCATATCCACACTCTCAAGTCATAGGAAACATTTATAGTAACTCCCTGAAGCCTCTCAGGTAGATAAAAATAAAAAAAAATTGTGGGCAAAAAAAATGGCCTTACTGCAACATGTCCTTTCTATTTAATGAGCAAATAGAAGTCAATATATTGTAAAATGAATCTTTATCTTACTCTGATAGATATCATCATTTTAAAGTAAGTAAAGAAGATTGGAAACGGCTATCACAGAGATAAGGGTGGGTGTGGGTGTGGGTATGGATTTAGTGAATATGAACACCCACACCGCACACCCACACCCACCCACACCCCACACCCACACCCACACCCTTGCAGTTTTCATCAGTCAAAAGAGGAGACATTGGGACGTCTTTTTCTTCAATATTATATAAGTCGAAATCGTTTTCAAATCAATCACTTTCATTATTTTTTTTCAAATAGATATTAGTTTTGAGCTATTTGCGAAGTGATATTATTGTTGTTCATATCATGATTAGTTAAAGTCTTAGAACAAAACGTTCTGTTTTAGAGTTTTAATGTTCAATGATACACACGATATGTATAGTACATGAAAAACTATTTAGATAAAACTTTTGATATTATTGTTGTTTGCAATGTAGATGGATGCTCGAGCTGGAGTCAACATGTGCTAAAGTCCATTCCATTACAATTATTGATATTAGACAGATTGTTCAAGGGTATTGGAGTCACCATTCATGCTTTTGCCATTGATTTTATGTTTCTCATCATCACGAATTCCTGTCCGATGGAATAAACGATAAATTGGTTGTAGAGTTAATTTATACAATAGGAATACAAGACCAAATATTTCCAGACAAACTGTAGTGAATAGAAGATTATGAAATATAATCTCTGCTCGTTTGGCAATTGGATATTGTTGATTTTTGACATAGTAAGCTGTTTCACTCAATACAATAGTCAATAGAATTGATTGTGATGTTGAATGAATATATTGTTCTTGTGTAAGAAATAAACTCTTTGAATCAATCGCAAACGTTGAAATATAGATGCCAGTAAAATCGGATTCTTCACCTTCGATCGGGATTGTTTCATTGATTACTTTTGTTAACACAAGAGAAATTGGTAATGTTTGTGCTAGAACAGATCCATTTTTGGAAAAAGATCCATAAAAATTTAATTCTTTCAATTTATATAATTCTTCTTCATGTTTATCACCACTTAGACCGATACGTAAAGCTCCAATTGTTTGAATTTGGTCTAAGGTGATTTGTACAGATATATGTTGAAAGGGAAGTGGAATAGATAGATATAGAATCGAATTGTTATTTTGACAATTAGACCATCGAATTGTCGACCAAATTGTTCCATATAGAGCTTGAATAGATATGACATCACAATTAATCAATGTATTAATGAACTCGATATTTAGCGAAAATTTTTGTTCATTTAACAAATCGAACATCTTTTTTTCAGTTTTCGATGGTGGTATACCTAATGTTTGAAGACTACTTTGGAATTTAGCATTACGAGTCGATAGATCACAGGCAAAATAGGCATCAGTTGATGTTTCAATAGGATATTGTTTGTAATAGGCATTGCTAAATGCATAGGCAAAGCAAACGAGAACAACCACAGAAAATGATGCTAAACCGCCTACCCATAGTTCACCTTCGCCAATCAGATCTGTTTTTTTAAATATATAATGAGTTCGATTTTTTATTCGCACATATGTCGTGTGATCGATACAATATTTCAGTACCTTCATTAATATAACGATCAGAATAGCTAAACCACCTACGATCAATGTCCAAAATAAGGGTGATATCAAAAGACAATGACCAGTTCCGATATGAAACATATTTTGTAGTAAAACATCATCAAATATCGTAGATTCAGGTGATTTGGGGTAGGCAATTAATTGTACGATGTTTTCCAATGCAGATGAAGGTGTTTCACTCACTGAACCAAGTGGACAAAATGTATCTGATGCACATGGAGTACAGTGAGTAGTGGCATTACCAGAATTTTTTGTGCCAGTTGGACAGAGGATACAATCATTAATGCCTACATGATCCTTGTGCATACCCGGCGGACAAGGCTGTGGTGATGTGATAAATGGCATCGATCTCGTTTCTAGTATTGATGGATAGAAACCTGGTGGTGTAGGAGTGAATATTAACAAATTACCCTTATCATCCATTAAAGTTAGTGACATTGGCGATGAAACGATATTTAAAAATACAGGACTAAAACTTGATGGCAACAATTGATGATAATTAGGAAAAATTGATATGGGAACACTGTTAGAATTATAAATATTCGATTTCATGTCGTAGAAATAGATTTGAGATGACAACCATTGATAATTGAGTGAATAGGTATTCACAAGTATAGCAGCTATATTCCCATTATCTAACCAGGCTAGACTTTTTCCATTACCTAAGGATCGACCATTAGTATTCCTATTTATATAAATCAATTGTATTGGATTGGAAATATTTACTGAAAATAAGAAAACTCGATTGATAAACTGCATACCAACTAAAACATCACCACGATTATTAATACTAATTGACATATCATACTTTGCTGAATAGACATTCGCATCGGAATAAGTCAATAAATCTTGCCAAGTATCGAGAGTAGCTATTGGTATATATTGATCAACAACAATTGGATGATGATTAGACGAATTAAAATTAAGCAGATAAATGATCGGACTGTATTTGACTCTTTCTTGTGGATCATTTTGAATAAAACCTGCAATAACACCGAAATTGTCACTGATATCAACAGCATAAGGCATAAAAGAGCTATTCGGCCATGTTAAATTACCATTCCATGATTCCAAAGTTGAGTCATTCACAGAATCAAATACAAAAAGAAACTGATTTGAAAACCCATAAGCAAAACGATCTTGTGGTTCAATACCAAAGATATAATGTTCTTGATGTTCATAATTGATTAGATAGTGTAGAGAATAAGAGAAACTCAAAGCACAAGAATTCGACGAATTTGATATGGCATTTGTCTGATTATATTTTGCTACGCCAACAAATATTCCATTACGATTGTTGATCAGTTCACCAGCAAAGAAAAATTGTTTATGATTTAGATTCGGTTTCTTGCCGACAGCAACACAATAAATATAAGCATCTAAAATATCAGGATAGTTGAGAAAACATTGTGATGAATTTTGTGTAGTATTATAAGGTGCAAATTGAATAAAAAATGCCGGTGGATGTTTAGCATTGTGAGCTTGTACAAGAAGAATTTCATTCATAGCTATTTTTACACCGTAGGCATCGTAATTCTTTCGATCAGGAATAAAAGTACAATTCAGATCATAGATATAAAATAGTATGAAAAGACCGATGATCATGTGATGAAAGCGATGCATGCTTTTATTTAGTGTATGGAACTTTTAAACTTTTGAAATTAGTAATCTGTAATATTCGTTGATAATTGATTTACTGGGTTCTTAGTTGAAAGACGATGAAATATGGAGTAAGTAGTAATACGACTAGAATTATAAAAGTATATCTATAATAAGAATAATGATTCACACTCATCAATTTTAATCATTCAAAAATCTATCCGAATGAGTTTTGAATTAAACATTTTGATTATTTTCAATGGTAATTCTACTAATGACTGTATCAATAGATAGAAGTTAGTAATGGGTAACAAAATTTCAAATAGTAATCCAATTCAGCTAAGAAAATGTTAATTTTAGCTACTTTGATGCGATCGAGCTTTAATTTGCAAGACGAAAAAAAAAACTAATGTAAAATGTCTTGTGACGTTTATTTCGAAACAACTTGGAAAGTTACTTGTTTTTTTGATATTGTGAATATTTTAGCTAAATACTTGTCTACGTGGTGAAATGGAAAATTATTTTTGAGAATGAGTTAGAATATAATTTTATTGAATATAGCAAAAAATGAAAGTCTTACAAAGCTATCATAGAAAATATCTAGCTGACCGGTAAAATATTTTATTACTATACGTACACAATCAGTTGCTTGATTGAACGATATAGTATTTGATTATAATCTAAAAGATATATTAAGATAATAATAAATAAAATAATTGTTCTTCCTTTACAAATATAATACAATAAGAATTACCTAACTAAAACAGGTATCATATATACCTATCGAATAGCAATACCACATTTTAGCACATGGTCGTGATCAAAGGAAAGAAAGAACAATATCAATATTGAGAAACAACAAGGTTGGCATAGATAATAATAGAAGTGTTACTAGTAAACAACAAACAAATACAAAGGAAGTGCTACAACAACACCTAACTTTCGAAAATGATCGTATAAATAAGACCGAAATATCAAGTATATTTAGTAAAATAGAAAATTAAAGAACAATTAAAAGATTTTTAATATATAATTTTCATGTAAGATTCTCATTTTTGCTGTATTCAATAAAGTACATCCTAATTCATTCCTTCAAATTAGTTTTTGGTACATGTCTATTATAGTACCTCTATGGAAGATCATCAGGAAACTAGTCTCGTTGAAACAGAAAGAAAGTTGAAAATACTAAGATCAATATTTTTGCTGCTGCATTAACTATATGACGATTATTAAAGATTTTTACATGGCACAGATGAGTTTGAAAACAATACAAAGCTCAGATGTAAGAATAGTAGATGATCGGTAAAAACTTCTCCTACACAGAAACTCAAGCCGTTAGAATAGTGTCACAAGTTATGAATAAACTTAAACCAGCTAAACTATTTAATCAATCCAGAGAATCTGATAACTACACTCTTCGATTGATGCTTATACAGAAGAACGCATAGATTGCCTATTTGGAGAAAGTATGAAACTTCTTCAATTCTGTGAGTATAGACACTTGCACTCATGCCAACAATCAAAGCTTTCTTGACATTCAACTTTAATTTCGTCTCTAGTCTAATAATGTAAGAAATCAAATTACTCACGTAATAAGTGATATGGACGTATGCAAATTTCGTTTTATGTGGTTTAAACCAATGTTGCTTCTCTTTTATCATTGACAAAATTAGTCGATTTTCTCCCACTTTTGTATGTATATATGATTCAATGAAGCATGACACTTTTATTAGGTAAGCAATTATTCATCATGAATGCGCTTTTCATCACGTGTATTCTATTGTTTGAATATTTTTCGTCTTTCTTTTTGTCTTCCTTTGTATTTCGTTTTCTAACGATCGGTTAATATCAACTGACATTGGTGTATACGAGGGTATTACATTTGCATCTCAAAATTTCTTTTTCATGAATAAACGAAATAATAGTTTTTTGGATCCATGATAACTATTTTGAAATTTTCGATCTCGTACAGAGTTAATAAAAAAATTATAGCTTTATATTTTTCTCTCTCTAAGATTCTATTTTTTATTTCTTCGTTCTCTCGATTCTTTTCTTCCTACATATATGTCAGCGTCCAAACTGAGATTGGACGTAATCTCAGTTTGGATGCTGACATATATATACGTTTAAAGAATCATTCAGGTGCTACTGATATGTCTATAGATGAAAAACAAAAAAGATTTCGGTCACACTATTAATATGATAATATTTATATTGTTCGTAAAAAAAATGATAGTAAGAATACTAAAATAAATATTTTAAAACAAACTATTAGAATAGTAATCTGTAGAAATAATTAACATAATATTAAAAAAGAATTCGTCAAAATTTAAGTATTTGAATTATATTGAAATTGTTTGAAACTACATCAGATATCGCTTTACATTCACATTTTGTTTTTAGCCCAAATTCATTGAGAAATATATCTAGATAATGTTTTGTTCTTTTTCTATTGATCATCACCATTATAAAAATAACATATAATCGTAATCAGTATGTCAAAATTAGGAAGAAAAAAGTCAATGATTATATAGTACGGTTTCTTAACCATAGGAAGCGTGTGTGATTAATAAAAGTGCTTAGATCATTTTGAAACGTTCAAGGATTTTTCACAGCATTCGATGAAGATTCTAACGAATCTAAATATTGCAAGCTTTTGGTACTTAATGAGGCGAAAGAATCATATTGTAGGTGCCAATCAGGAGTTTACGTTACAAATGTATATCAGCTATAAAATTTCTTATGATTATGGTATGTCCATTTATTTACTGTATTTTTAAATAAATTATTTTAAGCTTCCTGACAATATACCATACATTTATAAAAGTCAGATATTGTGCATTCAAAAGTTTGATTTCTCATGATACTGCAATTAGAAGTTTTCGTAAAACACCTGTTAGATATTGTTAATTACATGACTTTTGTCTTTTACAATAAAAGTAACATCCAATGATTATGAAACAATTCTAGATCGATCGTTCAGTTTTCGTAGTTATCGTTATTATAAATGACTCTGAATCAAAACATGATTCAAAAGTAAATTTATCATTAGTATTTTACTATACAGAAAATCAAGACAAAAATAAAAACATATTATGGAACATTAAGAAAGTAGAAAAATTAATAGACGAATTCGAATATAATTATGGCCAATAAGTGAGGTATACTGAAGTTTGTTTCATTTAATTAAAAGAATTCGTTTTACGTTAAATATGAACTGAATTCATCAAGTTTTTTTTATTATTAAAAAGAAAATCAGTCAGATTAACATGAATATTTTATTGAACATAGCTTTAATAATTAACATAATTCAAACACATAATCATTCTTTCACATACGATATTACCTATTTGTACACATAATTTATTCATGCAAAACAGGTTTTATTTGAATATCTGCAATTTTTATTGCCAGTGTAAATTTAGCATTCAAGTTGATTTTATTACATATCAAACATATTCATAATTGCAATTATTTCTAAATGTTCATAAGTCAAACTTAAAAAAATTATTTTCGTATTTATCAATGAAATATAAATAAGTTATGTACAAAGTAATTATTTTTCGTAATGTTGTATCCTGTTTTAGAAAATCTTTCTTCCTTTCTTATAGCTTATCCAATATTTTTCTCGTGTTCCGGCTCTGATCTATCTTGTACAGCTGGAATATGGAAAAACCATGATCTTCCAATGAAAACTTTTGATATAGTGAGTGAAATCGAGATATAAACATTATGAATGCGACTTTTGTATTTTATAATTATTACTTTTTCAATAATTTTCTCTTTAGTGAATGTATGCACTAATATTGACTGTTTCAGCTCATACCGCATTAAAGTAAAGAAGCTAATCTATCTACAGTCTTCATCTACGCTAAAGTTTTTCAGCAAGAACGGACTCCGAAAAAAGTAAGATGTGACTGGCTGATGAGTGTGAAGCTTGGAAATCGATATGATTTAACAGACGTTGAGTTCAAGTCAAAGATTGGTTTGTATGTAAATTTAAATAGATGGTTACATTTCTGGTCGTTCATCAGATGTTTTTTGGATAAAAATATGCAGATTTCACTACAGTACTCAGTTGTTTGATTCTTTAGTGATACGATCTCTTCATTAGTGAAAGCTTCCTTTTTTCCTTCCAATCCGTACCTTATTTGCGAACACATGAATGTCAGAAGATGTTCTTTCACTTGAACTTCTTTTGAAGTTCAATTCGACTCCTGAAACTGATTTTTGTTCAAATCTGCTGAGAAAGACCTTATTCGAACGGTTAACATACATAGAAGTCTTTAGAAATTCAGCTCTACATATCAATGCAATCGTTAGTAGTACTGATTCAAGTGCTTTTTATTATTTTGAAAGAATGGAAAACACAATCAATATTCAGTAAAAAAAAACACAAAGTTCCATGATTATTCAATTTCGGTAGTCAGGATAAGGAGAATGATCTTGTTCATAATCAAGTTCATGCATAGCAGCAGCAAATTCCAAAGTATCGAATGAATCTTCATTGAAGTTCCTAGCTATATTCATGCTTAGCTAGACGAGTCAATCTTCTGCTATGATTAAATCATCATTGTTAAAAGCCATAGAACATGCATGCGATTGCATTTGTGCAGCCACACATAGTAGGTATGTATGGAAGTATGCTACAGCAACAGATGGTCCACAAGTGAGCAAGCCAGGGTGTGGGTGTGAGTGTGAGATATTGTTCTACAATCACTCACACTCACCCTCACTAGTTCTAATAGACTATTGATTAAAATACAAGGACTCTCTGTAAAAAACACAATATTCTATAAATGTTAATCATTCAAAAAATTAATATTATTCAACTACAAATGAGATTTTTCATTGCAATATTTTGAGCGTGAAGTTTGACTACAAAAGTAAAACTCATAATGCTTCAG